TGCGTCCAGGCCGGCTTCCTCGCGCTCGCGCCGCTTGATGCCGGCTTCTTCCATGAGCAGCTGGCGTGTGGCGCCAAAGCCCTCGTCGGCGAGCCACTGGTCGATCATGCGGATGATGTCGTTGCGCACGTGCGGGTCGTCCGGACGCAGGATGGCGGTGCGCGACGAGGCATAGGTGGCATGGTTGGTATCGCGCGATGCGCTGGTGCTCGTGCTTGTGCTGGCCGTGTGCGCGGTGAGCTGGCCGACCGTCTGGCCGAGGATCGACGAGTTCTGGTAGTGAGGGTGGTAGCCGTAAGGCGGTGGACGCAGACCGTGCAGCTGCAGATCGGCGACGGTGTGGTCCTTTGCGTCAGCGAGCAGCACCTGCTTGCGCCGCTTCCACGTCTCCTTGGTTCCGCCCGAGGCGGAGGCGGCAGCCGTGGAATCGTTTGCAGTTGCGGCTGCGGCGCCGTTGGCGGCTGCGCCTGACGCAGCGGCCGAGAGAAGGGCGGAGATGCCGAGTCCGTCGCCGCCGCCAAGGTTCGGCTGCGCGCTGACGGACCGATCGAGGGCCAGATGACCGGCGGCGATGGCAGGGTCGACGGTGGCACCGATGGTGTTGGTGCGGAACATGGCACTTGCCGCCGTAGGTGATGTCGGCGCAGTGAACGAGCCGGTCGGCGTGGCCTGATAATGACTGCCATTCAGAGAGCCTGGCTCTGGTAGCCGAAAGGTAGACGCCCGTGGTGTCAGGGGAGCGGGCGAGGGCAGTGCCGGCTCGGACGAGGGATATGAGGATGGCAGCGACGAGCTCGAGTCGTGAGCAGCGGTGATTGTGATCTGCGTGGGCGGGTTTGGAGGCATGGCAGTGGCAGCACGCCCAGTGCCGTTCTGGTCTGCATCTGCCGCAGCGTCGTCTGGTGGCGGCATCGTATGCGAAAGCCGAGTGGTGTAGGGTAAGGCGGGTAGGCAAGGTGGTGAAGGACGGACGATGCATCCTCTCAACTCCACTTTGTCTATGGTCACACTTTGCTGCGTGCCGAGCAGACCCTGTGGCGCCGCGATGCTTCAGCTCTCTTTGGCAGCTGATTGGAAATGTCAAAAAAAAGCAACGCCGAAATTGGTGCCTAAAAATCGGACCCAAAATGCCGACGTGGATCTGTCTCATCCGCGCGAGAAGAAGACGACCAAGCAGGCCAAGCAAGTCCGCACGGACGCGCTGCAGGAAGACAGCGTGGAAGGTGCCGGCGAGCAGCAGCAACTCCTTCCCACTCGGCAACCATCCTCCACCCTTGCATCTCTCGGACAAGCAGCAATCGTCGAGATGAGAGTCGCATCACGCCCAAGCATGGCGAGTGTGGCCAAGCTGGGCCTCCTGGCGCTCTTGTGCATGCTCGCCTGGATCCAGCTTCCCACCGCCCTGGCGCAGCGCTTCGCCAACAAGGACCAGACGAGCCTCTACAACCGCATCCAGTCGTCCAGCCAGGGCTTTGTCGACGTCGATGCCAAGGAGTTCGCCTCGATCGTCGGCCTTCCGCGCGACTTTGCCGTGTCGGCGCTGCTCACCACCACCAACGGCGGCATCAAGTGTCCGCCATGCGTGGCGTTCCAGCCCGAGTTTGAAAAGGTGGCGCAGCAGTGGAACCGCGACCGGGCGGTCAAGTCGAAGCACGTCTTTGTCAAGGTCGAGTTCTCGAGGGCGCAGCAGGTGTTTGCGCAGTTCCAGCTCCAGCATGCGCCTGTGCTCTACACGTTCCCCGCGCCCACCAACACCAACGCCGTGCCGGACCACGTGTCGTTTGACTTCAACGAGCGCGGCTTTGCGGCCAAGGACGTGGCGGATCACATCAACTCGCTCATGAACACCAAGTTCAAGTTCAAGCAGCCCGTCAACACCAAGCTCGTCACGGCGTCCATCACGGGCGTCATTACGCTGGTGGGAGCGATCTTCTTCCTGGCGCCGTACGTGCCGGTGCTGTTCAAGTCGTCCAAGCCCATCTGGATGCTGCTCTGCCTGGGCTCCATGATCCTCTTTACGTCCGGTCACATGTGGAACTCGATCCGCGGCGCACCCTACGTCGCCATGGGCCAGGGAGGCAAGCCCGAGTACTTTGCCGCCGGCTTTCAGTCGCAGTACGGCGTCGAGACGCAGATCGTGGCAGCCATCTATGCGCTGCTCGCATTCAGCTTTATTGCGCTCACCGTGCTCGTGCCTGCCCAGAGGGATCCCACAAGGCAGCGCGCAGGCGTCTATGTGTGGAGCGCCATCTTCCTCGCCACCTTCAGCCTGCTCTTCTACATCTTCCGCACCAAAAACCCCAGCTACCCCTTCCGCCTCTTCTTTTAACACAGCGATTGTAACGATAGAGGTTAGGAACGAACGATTCCTCGTCCGCATCAGCGCACGGCAGAGAGGTGTGATTCGGTGACATTGAGAGCAAAACAAAAGGGCCGGGCACGTTGAAGAAGGCAGAAAGTCTAAAGATCATCGATGGGGGAATCTACCTGCCAAACACTTTCTTCTCGAGCATGCGCAGCGGCACATACAGCACGATGCTTGCCGCCAGACCGGTCTCGAAGCCGAGATCGCCCGCGCGCTTTGCAATGGGTCCATGGAACCAGACCTGGTCGATGCTGGGCACCACCACCGCCAGCGAGATGGCACATGCACCCAGAGCCGCCAATCCAGGCGGAAGCTTATTCCACTGATTCCAGTGTTTGACATCATACGACGCATAGTCCCTCCTCCTTACCAGCACGTGATCCGCAAACACAACGCCCACATATAAGCTCGCCCAGTATCCGAGCACGCTCGTAAAATCGGTGAGCGTTTCGTAGAACTTGTCGTGACCCACGATCGCCAGCGGCAAGAAGATGGCCGTGGCCAGAAGCGGCCATACGAATCGCGGCACGGGTCCGAGGAAGGGCAGCATGGTCTGGAAGTTGAGTCCGATGCTGTAGATCGTTGCCGAGATGTTGCCACACACGGACAGCGCAAGCAGCACCACGAGAAACCTGCCAAAGTTGCCGAGATTGCCCGCAAGGATGAGCTGGAAGAATCGACCGGACGACACACCGAGTGCGGTGGACCACTCGTCGTTGTCGTACGACGAGCATGCAAACGCCGCACCGATCATGATGAACGGCACGCACGACAGGAAGAAGCCGCAGTAGACCGACCAGAAAAGCTTGTGCGGCGAAACATCCGGTCGGAGGTAGTGCGAAACGTCCGAGACAAGCGCCGAGTAGGAGATGACAAAGCCTGCAATGATGGCTGCAAAGCCGAGGATCGACTGTGCCGTCGCCTTGGGCTCGTTGCTCGCCACATGCAGCGCGTTGGGCCCCGTGCCTGCCTCTCCGATGAGGATCATAAAGCAGATCAGCGTAGGGAGCCAGAAGAAGCGTTCGAACATGTGCAGCACGCGGATGCCGCTGAACGACACCACGAGCGCAATGCACGCCGCCACCACAATCCCCACATCCGGTGTGAGGGTCGAAGTGCCGTCCGCACGCGACGAAACCGCCGACAAGGTCTGTCCACCAACGATCGAGTTGAGGATGCAATACCCGAGCATCGTTGCGGCATTGAGCACACAGATGACGCTCGCTCCAAAGTAGCCGAACGAGTAGCGGCACTGGATCATCTGACGCATGCCAAGCTTGGGGCCAAAGAGCGAAAAGTAGGCGGGGAAGAAGGAGCAGAATGCGCCGACAAAGAGGGTGGTGAGCATGGCGGAGCGCATGTCCATCTCGAGCAGCTTGACGAGCGTGCCTGCGGAGAAGGAGAGCACATTGACGTTGCTCGAGAACCACACCAGACTCGGGCTCCACCAGTCGGTGCCCGTGCGTTCCGAGAGCGCAAGTGGACGGATGCCCACCGACTCGACATAGAACCGGTTGAGCTTTTGCGCGACGATGTCGAGCCGACGCAGCAGCACATGGCGCTCGATGGTGCGCTTGTAGTCGCTCAGGATGGATTCGGACGTCGAGTCGTCCTTGAAGTCGGTCGCCGGCGTGGGCTGCTCCACGTCGGTCTTGGGAACCGAAGCCATGCTAGCGAGAGCGAGCTGCCAATACGACACGTCGATGTCGTACGGAGAGTCGACGGAAGGTGAGAAGGAGAAGACGGTGGTGGCGAGGCAACTTGGCCGGTGGCGAGATGGCAAGAAGAAACTCTTGCTGCCAAATATACGCTTGGAGAGGGCGTCACCGGAAAGGTCCGATTTCAAAATTCAGGGTCTGACGCTGCGTCTCGTTTTTTCTTTGGTCTGACTCGAAGGCGACTGCTCGCGCGTGGAAAAAACGTGGGGCGGCAGCATCAGCAGCAGCAGCAGCATTCGAGTCAGGCTTGTGTGTGGCTCGCTGATATCGATCCACGTTCTCACGCCGGCGGCACCCGTCGGCCGCCGCCAAACCCGAGTGCGCATTTGGACCGCCTCGGACCGCCTTTCGCCGTCGTGCACAGAGGCAGGTGATTGTGCGTATCAGCGACAACCACGTCTCGGCTTCTGTTAGTCGTGCCCACCTCTCTCGGACCGAACCAACCTCCCCATCGGCAAATTACGCGGAGATCGCTCATGCAGGCCCATCGATCCGCTCTTTCTTGCGCACACGCCATTTTGCACACGGCAAAGCACGTCTGCTGGTATTGCGTCTCAGCTTGTCTACTGGAGCTTCTGCATCCTGCTCGACACATCCTCGATCCTCTGCTGCAGCGCGGCGAGGTTGGCCTCGACCGTCTGGCTGTTCTGGCGCATGTTGGCCTCCATCTTGTGCAGCAGCTCGTCGAGCTCGTTCTGTTGAGCCTGCCTTGCCTCCCTGCCCTGCTCGAGCGCGTCGAGCACGCTGCCAAAGTGTGCCGACGACGCATGCAGTTCCGCCAGCGTCTGCAGCCGCTCGAGCACCGACGGCACGAGCGGGAGCAGCGGCTCGATGCGCCTCGACACATCAAACACCTGCTGCAGCTTTGTCATTTCGGCCGGCGTGAGCGTCGCAGCTGTTTTGGACGCCGCGTCGCCACCTGCTCCCTCGGCGACACCGTCGGTGAGTTTGCGACGCATGTCGTTGGCGCGGTCCATCTCGGTGACGAGCACCTTGACGCGGCGGCTGATGGCGTCCAGATGGCGGGGTTGCGAGAGCAGCGAGAGCTGGTGCTCGAGCCGAGACAGCGTCGACAGCACCGGACGGGGAACCGGCTTGGACTCGTCCAGCAGCGCCTCGTGCACGCCCAGCGTCGACTCGAGCTCGCTCAGCCGCGCTTCCAGCTGCACCACCTCCGCACTGCGCGTCTCGGCCGTCGTCTTGGCCGGCGCGGTGCCAGCAGCCGGTGTTGCACCGGCATCGGTAGCGGAAACGGCCGAGGGCGCCTGCTTGATCTGATCCAGCAGCGCACGGAACGTCTGCTGGTCAGTTTCGCGCGATGAAGATGCAGCGCCGACTTGGTCGGAGGGTGAGGGTAATCTGGCCAGCTGGTCGTGCAGCAGCTTGAGCTGGTTGAGCATCTGTGTGCTGTCCACCTCCACCGAGCCATTGGCAATGTCAGCGCCCGCAGCGCCACTGCCTTCGGCTTTGAGCTCCTCCTCCAACTGGCTGGCCTCGAACCTGAGCCTCCGCAAACGATCCACCACGGACTCTTGGGCTCGTTCGCCAGCTGGGCGCGCGTCATCCAGCGCATACGTCGCCGTCTCGACTCCTGCATCGATCGGCCTGGCCGCCCTGTTCTTTCGTGCGCTTCGATGGCGCAATCGGCCCGAAAAGTCGACTGCATCCGCGTCCAAGTCGGTGGCGCCGGTGAATTTGGACGCTGCATCCGAGCGCTTCAACGAGGAGCTGTCGATGTCTTCATTCTTCACCGCTCCCTTGGCGTCGCCCGCGTGCTTGCGATGGCCTGCGCTGTGATCCGAGTCGTCGCTGGACGAGTCCGAATCGGCCGCGTCCGTACCGCCCTGTGTGCGGTGCTTGCGCGATCGATGACGACGACTTTGCGATGCATCGTCGGTGCGGCTCGGACCCTCGTATTCGTACACGTCGGGCGCCGAGGTGTCGACGTCCGGCAGGCTGGCGTACTTTGTGTAGCTCGTCGAGGACGACGAGGCTCCCGCTTGCTGCGACATGATGCGCTACTGTATGAGGCGTGCGGGATGAGGTCGTGGAGTGGAAGATGGATCCAGATGCGGGCACGCGCAAGTGGGGTGCGTGGCACGCGCGCGGACCAGACCAACACCGCACCTCTGTGACTTTCGCTCTTTCTCGCCTCACTTCAAGTCGCGTCGGAATTTCACGCACAACGCTGCAACGCCGCGCTCAGGTTAGAAAATCTAGCATTGCAATCCTGGTAGCAGGCGAAGAGCTTTCAGCATGGCATCCACATCCTATCTCTTTTTCCTAGGAGAGAGGAGTGCGGATGGAAACGATTCTACTGCTGAGCGTGGTTGGCAAAGGTGCGGTCCATGGCCTGCTTGATCTCGGCGTACACCTCGTCGACGGGCTTGATCGAGTCCACCTCCACCACGCGGTCCTGCTTGCGGTAGTAGTCGACGACGGGCATCGACGTCTCGACAAAGGTCTCTGCAGGATTGGCAAGACGAGAAAATGAATCGGGTTGTCAGCAAGGCAAGTCGTGACTGCGGCTGGCTGTATAGGCTCAAAACGGGCACTTACGGAAACGCTTCTTGATCGACTCGATATTGTCGTCAGCACGGCCGCTGGTCTTTCCGCGCTCGAGCAGTCGGCTGAGCATCACCTCCTCGGAGCACTGCAGGAAGAGCACGAACTGCGACGGGCACACCGACTCGTCGAACTTGATCGCCTGGTCCATCTTGCGCGGGAAGCCGTCGACGAGGAAGCGGCCCTTGCCCTCGCCGCCCTGCTTGGCGAGCGCGTCGGCGATGGCGTTGGAGAGCAGCGCCACGGTGACCTCCATGGGCACGATCTTGCCCTCCTTGATGTAGTCGGCGATCATGGCGCCGTACTGCGAGCCCTCGCGCTGCTGCTCGGCACGCAGCAGGTCTCCGGCACTCAGGTGCACGAAGCCATACTCCTCGACGAGACGAGCGCACTGCGTGCCCTTACCCGCGCCGGGTCCTCCGAGCACAAACACCACGGTCACCTTGGACGAGTCGAAGCGAGGCGTGTCCTTTGCGACCGAAGCCTCCGCGATGGCAGGCGCGGCCGCAGCTTCCGGGACGGATGGATCGGATCCAGACGCACCAGCCGAGGCCGTGGCCTGGTCGTCCTTCTTGTGCTTGAGCTTATCGAACAGACCCATTCTGCCGAGCAGCGTGTTTGACCAGTTAATGTTGGGCGAAGTGTGCAGGTGCGATGCGACTCTCTAGGCTTCGACGTTGAAGCACGGAGAGATATCGAAGCTGGGCGGTGGATGGGCGGGGAAAAGGCAAGCGAGGATCACTGAGGCTCCTGCGAACGAGGAGGGATGAGTGGGTTGGGATGCGGGATGCGCTTTTCGCGGAGGTGCTTCTGCGGATCGTCGTGTCGGGAGCGCGAGACGTAGGCAAACGTGCCGAAAGCTGCGATGGCGATCAGCGCAAATCCGATGGGGCTCGGGTGGTTCTTCTTAGGACTGGCGCCCGAAGTGGAGTAGGCTCGGAAGGCGATGGGAGAGGCCAGACGATCAGTGCGGAGCAGACGACGGAGGATCGACGAGGAGCTAGAAAGCATTCGCAGATGTTTGCAGGTTCGAAGGGAAAGGCAAGGAGATCCGATGGTTGGTGTGTTGGAGCGGGAAGAAATGCATCCATGCGCACAGAGATAGGAGAAAGGCACAGGCACAGGCACAGACACAGACGCAGCTGCACCAAAAGTTGCGCATGACCGAAGCACCGTGCACATATTCTCGTACGAGAGAAAATCACCGCTGCCTCCACCTGATGCGGACTAGCATTTCAAAGCAGTCCTCGTCGTTGCTCTTACCACTTTACCACCACCGCACCTCGTCACCGCCTCGACTAAGCACTCTCGCGTGCTCCGCGCATTGACGGCTCCACGGATGTCATCATCTGGGTCGTCGTCGGCCTACGCCTTCAAGCCCGGCGGCTCGCTCAAGCTCAAGGGCGACGATGGCAAGAAGGACAAGAAGAAGTAGGTAGCAACACACTCAAGTTGACATATGAGATTGACTTACTGACTCTACTGTAACGGCAATCTGGCTGTCGTCGCCTCTTTTGCACTTGTCGCGCACCTCGCAGGAAGAAAAAGGTCAAGTCGTCCCTGTCGCACGATGCCAAGCATGCTTCACAGTCCGCCTCTTCCTCCAAAGGCAAGGCTCACGATGACGGCAAACCCAGCCGAGACAGAGACGAAGGAATGGACCTGCAAGATTCGTCCGAAACTGGCCTGGCTCCCAGCGGCCGCCGGATGACCGAGGCGGAGCGCAGGTTCGAAGAAGTGCGGCGCCAACGCATGCAGCAGCGCATCGCCAAAGAGGCACGCACCTCGCACAAGGAAAAGGTGGAAGCCTTCAACAAGTACCTGGGATCGCTCTCGGAGCACCACGACATCCCCAAGGTAGGTCCGGGCTAGTGCGCTGTCTTCTCTGAGCAATCTCACGCTCAGATTCCGATTTGTGCGTGCCACGTCGTCGTGCTTGCCAGGCGAGATGATACCGCAGCGTGTCGATCTCGGATACCGTCAAGCGGTCTTGCTTTGCAGCTGCTTAGCTCCTTGACGGATGCCGAGACGGTTTCCATTCGGAGGCAGCTGATTCGGTATTTGAGTCAGTGTACGCTGTGCTGTGTTGTGAGTCGTCTTATCTTCAGGGTCCAGCCGGGCCAAAGTAGTGCAGCTGCAGGGTGAGATTTTCCGTCCGCGACGTTTTCGATTCCGTGTTTTTCGCTGATGCGGAGGAGGAAGCTTCCTAACATCGTTCACACCACCTCACCAAATTTAGGAAGCGGCCATGTCGGACTCGTTGCAGCTGGCGCGTAGCGCCATCGACGACTGCCATCGTAAGGACCCTGCCTACGCACAGCGCGCTGAGTCTTCGTCGTCTTCCGGCGCCGATGCAGCCGAGTCCAAGACCAAGGTCGACGAGCTGGCCTATGCGGATAGCATGGAGTCGTTCACATCGCATCTCATCGGTCTACGACTCGAGACTCCCGAGTACCGCGCGTTTGCTGCCACGGTCTCACCCTCGCCGGCATCCGATGCCGAGTCGGTCGCTCGGACAGGCGAGCTCCTTCGCATCGCGGCACGCTGCCAGCACCTCGAGCGCTTCCTCACCCCGCGCGCCTCGTACCCGGACGGCAAAGCGGGTTACCTCAAGTGGCGCCGCGACCTGTACAAGATCCAGGCAGACCGCGCAAAGCAGCTCCTCACCCAGGCGGGCATCAGCGAGACCGAGGCCGACTGGGTGCACAAGTGGGTGAGCAAGACCGAGCTCAACCCTGGCAGGGAGTCGGGCGACATGGGAACGCAGATGCTCGAGGACGCTGCCGTGCTCGTCTTTTTGCAGAATGAACTCGAACTCTTTGCTGGTCAGCACCAGGAGTATACCGAGCAAAAGTTCGTCGACATCATCAAGAAGACCTGGAGGAAGCTCTCGGCGCTCGGAAAGCAGGAGGCGCTCAAACTCAGCATGCCCAGCGGTCTTGAGCCCATCGTCCGCAAGGGCATCGAGGCTGTTGAAGGCTCTTCAACTCAGCAGGAACAAGGGTAAGATACAAGGTCCCCGCACATCCCTTTTTCGACGATACCCTCCACTCCCATAAGATACGCTTGTTTGCTCTTGGATAGTCTTCCCACTCCTTGTGCATGCAAAGCGTCGAGCCTTCGCTCCTGGCCAGAACTCGAATGCGTGTGCGGCTGCTGTAGGACTCGACATGAGCTGACTCTTTGCAACTCTTTGTGGCGTTTGACCAGCATTCCTACTGATGCATCCGCTGCAGCTGACGGTGCGGGTCGGAAGAAGCAGACTTCTTCGTCGGCAGCGATCACATCCGGCTCGACCCTGCCTCGTGCGCTTCGACCCAAGAACGCCGCTGAAGCCGAGGCATTGCTTGCGGAGCGTGCTGCGCGCACCGACGATGCCACGGACGAGCCGGACATGTTTGGTGCGCGTCTGCTCAAGGCGGACGACGACATCTGGACGCACAATGCATGGGATCACGTCACGCCACCCGCGTCGCACTATGAGCAGGTCGCGGCTACACTTGCCAAGCAGGCGGAAACCAAGCTTTCGCTCGACGAAGCCGAGGTATTCCACCAGGCGCCCGCGGGCTATTGGGACACGTTCTACTCGGCACACGAGAACCGCTTCTTCAAAGACCGCAAGTGGCTCCACCTCGAGTTTCCCGAACTGGTCGAAACGACGCTCGAATCAGCGGGTGACAAGACGGTATTGGAGGTCGGATGTGGTGCGGGCAACACCGTGTTTCCATTGCTGGAGATCAACAAGAACCCCAAGCTCACCATCCATGCGTGCGATTATAGCGCAGAAGCAGTGGGTGTTGTACGATCCAATCCGCTCTGCAGCTCGGCTCCTGCCGGTGCAAAGTGTCATGCATCGGTCTGGGATCTCAGCTCTTCCACTGCACTACCCACCGGTCTAGAGGAGGGGAGTGTGGATGTGGTGGTGTTGATCTTTGTCTTTTCCGCACTCCATCCTCGAGAATGGACGCAGGCAGTCAGCAATATCCGCAAACTCCTCAAACCCAGCGGTATTGTGCTGTTCCGCGACTATGGACGGTACGATTTGCCACAGCTGCGGTTCAAGAAACGTCGCATGTTGCAGGACAACTTTTACCTGCGTGGCGACGGTACGCGCGTCTACTTTTTCGAACCCCAAGAACTCTTCTCCATCTTCAACGCCCGTCCCCAATCCACCACCACCACAACCACTCAAGACGATCATGAAGTTCAGCAGGTCGATCAATCCACTGCCGACAGTGCACAAGCTGGGGAAAAGTACGACTTTGAAACGGTGCAGATGGCCATCGATCGCAGACTCATCGTCAACCGAAAGGAGCGCAAGCAGATGTACCGCAACTGGCTCCAAGCCAAGTTCCAGCTGTTCAAGTAGCACAACCGCATCCAGTTTTGCCACAAATAGATGGGATTCAAACACCAAACGCCATGCGACGACGTGAGAAACGCAGAA